TCTCTCTCTCTCTCTCTCTCTCCCATACAGTCCACAATTATGCAGAACTCTTGAAATGGTTTTCTCCTGCACCTTCACTCTACTTTCAGCCACTGTGTACTCTGTTTTTGAGGGCTGGCCTTGTCTAGGTAGTGACTGCATGGTGTGATGCAGCTTCCACTTCCTCACTATTGATCCAACAGTGCTTTAACCAACCTTATTTCCTAAGTTATGAAATTCTCTTACTTTAACTTTGTTAGAATGCACATGAAGGCCATATAACTCAATTTTCTCCTCATTAAGACAATGTCTTTCATCTGGAGCTTCTGGAACCTCGGGGGTTGAATACTTATGCAAGCAGTACTTTTGTAGTTTTGTAGCAGTTTTGGATTTTCTTTTAAATACTTGCTGACCAATAATTAATTTGGACTTTGAAAATTCACTGTAAGAGAACATGAGTTTGCAATAAAAACACTTATGTGTGTTTAACATTTGTTATTCAGACAAATCTGATAAATTCCAGGCAGGTTAATTACAAGCCACTGTATATTTATTGTACATGCTCCCTCGTAACACATATGCTGCGTTCAAGGAGAAGTTGCAACTTCAAACAACTAATTGCTTGCCTACAACTGGTCAAAGCCACCAAAAACACCCCTCAACTTGAAATTTCAACGCTTTAACTTGTAAGTACTGTAGTCTTCTCAACTACCAGTTCATTCCTCATGTTCAGAGTCAAGTGTACATGGCCACATTCACTGTGAAGCATGAATTACTTCTTCTCTACCTTTAAAGTAGTTTATAGTAGTACTGACTTTGGATCAGTTAATATACGGACTTGGTTAAATCTATAACATTGGCCATACTAATCGCTGTTTTGAGAAAGTGATCACCATTATTAGAGTTATCACTAACATTACTCGCTATTGTCTGCTGTTTTTTGCAATTTAAGTCCAGAATGTTGCAGGAATGTTTAAAGTTCACTGTAGTGGAACAGTACCAATAGCCACTCAGGCCTGTAACTGTAAAAGTGTGGTTAAAGTAGATTTTTATAGCTTTACATGCTCTGACAGAGAAAACAAAATACACACTTTCATGAAGGTGTCCATGTTCTTGTTCCCACTTCGTACATTGAATGTCCCGAGGTGAGAAATGACGTCATTACAACTTGCAATTTACTGCTTACAAGGCACCACAAACGCAGCATTATAGTTTGCTGTATTACAAGAAAATACGTGAGTTACTATACAAAGTACTCATTAAAACTTCTGGAAGGTCTCTTCTCTCATCTAGTCCAATGACTGCATGCTATACATCAACAGAACAGAACTGTTTTCTTTGCTAATGTCAGGTTAGACTATCATCGATTCCAGCAGCTAATGTAATTAGCTAGGCAAAAAGTCAAATTGTAGCTAATGGCAAATATTGGTTATACTCCATAGCGTCACTCATGCATATGACCAACAGATTTACAGAGATTGAATGGTGTTTTCAGGCAAAATGGCAGAGTTGCTTATAACAGTTTTAGATAAGTAATAAAAGTTCCTTTCCACATGAAAACATGACATTACTTAATTTCATAAGTTAAAAAAACTTCCATTTTACTTTCACTTGAGTACATTTTTGGTGGGATACTTCCACTTTTAATTGAGGAAGATTTTGAAACATTATCTCTGCTTTTATTTATATACAATTTATCAGTACTTTTTCTATCCCTGTCCCCAGGCCATCTCTCTGGATTTTATAACAATATAGTTGTAAAACTAGAAGAAGGACTAAGCATCTTTCTTTCTTGTTTACACAAGCTGATGGTAAATATTGCTCGTTAGCGAAACACACAGTCTCTGCTGAGTTTCTGACATATTGTAATGTAAACCTTAAGAAATCATGTGAAACATTTTACTTATTGAAATTAGACAATTGCCAAATATTCACCTTTTTAAAAACCATTTGAAGACATATGTTTTTAAGTTAGCTTTTGATTAATATATTTTGTCTTTTAGTTGTTATTTCCAATTTTGTATATTATTATTATTATTATTATTGTTGTTGTTGTTGTTGTTGTTGTTGTATCCTAATTTTACACTTTTACTTCCTTTGTTGATTTTTATTCTTGATTTGTTTCTTGCTTTTTGTGTTTTTATGTTTTGATCTGAGCTGCACTCTATGTATGAAAGGTGCTATACCAATAATGTATTATTATTATTATTATTATTATTATTATTATTATTCATGTGCATGACAAGCAAACTTAGAGTGAATAGTGTTTTCAGTTTTAAATAACAAGAAAAAATATCCAGAACGTTTTCTTTTCACAAGAAAACATTCCTTAATTAATTCCAACAGTTCATAACATTTTTGTGGTAGTTACGAAGTAAAAATAAATTAATTAATTTAAAAAGTTCGTTTGTTAGGACTTTTATTTTGGAATACTTGTTGTGCTGGAAGCGTTGCTGGTGCTGGTTTCACTTTGCATTGTTGACATGGCCGCTTCTTCTCTCAGCCTCGTCATCAGCTGAGCAGAAAATATGGCTGCGTAGTGTTATTGGGATTTAGAGGGATTTGGTTCGTTTGGGTTGTGCTGTTTAAACTCAGATGCCAGCGAAGGTGCAGGTAGGAGAAGCTGTCCTTATAAACAGTTAGCTAGCGAGAGGTGTGTCACTTTCTAGCGTTCACTTCAGACGAGCGGTTAGTTAACGTTAGTTTAGAAAGCTGGCATTTGTGTCTGGGGAATTACACCACACTCTACATGGTCTGTTGTTTTTAAAAAAAAAAATAGAACAGAAACACACTTCTTAGCTCAGATAAACTGTGTAAATTAGTCTAATTCATCCCGCGTTCTCTTGTATGACAGATTAAGTACAGCTAACATTAGCAGAAAACATGCTAACTACTGCGACTCATCCTGATGCTGCATTCAAGTCGTGTCGGAAACGAGGTGTTTACGAGTTGAACGCACCACCAGGAAGGCCACCTCAAAGTCGTAATTATGAGTGGAAAACTGGGGATTTTCTTTGAGTTCTGAGTTTCTGAGTTGGGGTGTTGTGTCAGTGAGAAACATGGTGGATGA